CATTCCACTGTATGCACTAGATTTAAATTTAAATCAAGAGGAAATACAGATTAACACAAAATATTGTGAATACAAGCTGCACATTCTTCCCCCTGCCAATATACTGTTCTTCCTTTTGAGTGGAGTTATTTTCTAAAAAGAGGGATCCATCTTTCCAAGACAGCAATCATTCCATCTCATATAACTCTTCTGGCCGCTTGTGCTCTCTTTCCAGAACACACAATGATAAAAAATAATAATCTCTGAGTAAAGCCAACAATAAATCTTCTCCTTTCAGAATATGCTTAGTAGGTCAAACTTCCTGTGGGTTCTTTTTTGCCCCCTTAAAGTTCAGGGGTTTCAAATGAGCTACTGGGGAAATAAACTGTGCAAGAGAACACAACCATTAGTCCCCAAGAACCCTGTTATTTTTCAGAACAGCAACAAGTGACAGAATACAGGGTATGCTTCATTTTAGAACAGGAAGGGTTATTTAGCTTATGGGGAAAGAGCTGAAAGTTTATTTAGGCCCGTAACTTTAGTGAGTCTCTTTGGAACCTTCCTAAAGCTAGAGAAACTATAGTGAAGGATTAAGAAAATTGCAAAGCAGATCCATTTTGGTCCGTCTTTTCCACCTGAAGCTTCTTTACATACTTCAACTACACTTCCAGCCATGCTGGCAATAATAATAATACATATAATAATATAAATAATTCTGTTTCAAAACACACAGACCACCTTTGTTTTCTGCATGTGACCATTTCCCCACTTTTTCTAGCACCCCCACAGCTGAAAGGACGGCTCCGCTTTCACCCTAAGAAATGAAACGACAACATATCTTCTGGTAGTAATATCTATGTTAGTCTGCCTATGGGCAGCTTTTCCTTCTGTCACTGTTGCAGGAGGAGTTGGTGACAAAGAGAAAGTGGGCTGTTCCCTTCACATTTTCTTCTTTCCATCTTTGCAGTGAAAGGGGAGAAGAAAGAATATTCTCATCTGTTTCCTGGCCGCATTTCTTGAACAGTTAAGTTGTCCAATTTAGGCTCCTTGCTTTTTGTTTCAGCATCTGAGGTAAAGTGAAGCAAAACTCATTTGAGATAGGCTCAATGTTGCTTCTTGATGCACACTCTGGAAGCCAGCTTACATTCCTTTGAAAAGTGGTTTCTTCCCACCCACCCACCACCTATAATTTACACTTTATTTCCCCAAACAGGTGCCCTCCAAATGCTGGACCTTGTACTACAGAGGGTCTGCAGGGCACCAGATTGGGGAAGGCTGATTTGCACTAGCTCTGATTTTAAATATCAGCCCTGAGTTTTGTTTTGAAAACAAAAAATGCATCAGTCACTGATAACTTTCTGCATTTGAGATCTAGCTGGAAAGGGTGGGATCTAATGGTTTATAGAATTCAAATTCACTAAGCAACCCATTTCAGTTAAATGAAATACATAGCATTTTTCTTCATAGAAAGGATGGAAAATGGGGGGAAAAAAGTGCCCAGAGTTGGAAGTTTACACTAACAGCTCAGAAATGGGGAAGAGGAAGCACAAGTGCTATGTTCTTGCTTGCAGATGAAGCTCAAACATCTCTGTGCATTTGGTACATGTTCCTTCGGATATTCAGACACATGGAACCAAGTCACAACCTAAGACAGCTTCTTAAGCACAAATCAGACAATTTGGTCCATCTAGCTGAGTTGAAGCATTTAGTTGAAGGAGCTCTCCAGGTATGAGACAAGAGTCTTCCCCTTGCACCACCTGTAATATCTGGAGAAGCCAGAGATTTAACCTTTGGTCTGCAAAGCAGATGCTCTACCACTGAGGTACAGCTCTTTATCCCTCCTTTCCCTTCTTCCTTTTTTAATAAACAAACCTATCCAACTTCTGTCCTAGTTGCGCCATCCCTATTCTTTCTTTCTCGGCCTGTTGAAGTTTAAATAAAGAGATGCTCACAAAGATGCAACTAATGTTCAGATGTTCTCTTCTCTAAAGGCAACTTGCCATTGCAGTGGATGCTCTGAGATCTCTTCTCCTTGGGTGTGAAAGACAATATTCTTTTCTTACGGTTCATGAAAACATTATTTGAAAAGATATGTCATCCTAATATATAGTGGCAGGGGATTTTTTTAAAAAAAGAAGTAGGTAACTAAGAAAGCACAGTACCTATTTTTTGTCAATGTGTCAAAGTATTTTAAAGGGAATATATACTTATAGTACTCAGTGGGTTTTCAAATTGAAATAAATAAGCAATAAAGGTACATTCCAGTCCTACTGCACTTACATGCACACAGTATGATCTTCAAGTTTCTCTCTCCCTGTTATACTAGTAATATAACTCCTGCCCAATTTCACATTTCCTGGAGGCTCCAGTCTTATGTTAAGACAAAGCTTTACTTGTGGGTGCTTTTCTAAACTATTTCTCTTTGGGGTATTTAAATAAAAACCACTTTTGTTTACAGTTTGCAACTTGCAAAATACAAAAGTGCACTAGATGTCCTGTGGGGAGAGTGAAGTAATTTCAAAAAGGTATTTTAATGAAGTTCAAAACATTCACTTTTGGTCCAATAGAGTTAGGAAAGTCATAGCTTAATACAGAGGTTTTCAACCTTCTTGAGTCCATGGCTCCCTTAACCAACTACATTCTTTCTGTGGCTCCCCTGTGGGGCTCAGAAGCCCAGTTATGTCACCCCTTGCCTGCAGAGCTGGCAGCCTCTCATTTTAATGTTGTATCTTAATCTTTTAAATTGTATTTTAATCAGCTTGTTTTTATTATTGGCTGTTAGCCGCCCTGAGCCTGGTCTTGGCTGGGGAGGGCAGGGTATAAATAATATATATTTATTATTATTATTATTATTATTATTATTATTAAAACACCGAGGCTTGGGGGGTTGCTTATGTCTCTTGCAATGTGCTTTGAAGACCCAGACAGAGAGTGGACATATGGAATGCTCAGACTGACATGTGACTAAAAGAGGTTATTTTGAAGGAAGGAGTATGATCCCATGTAAGTAGCAGACATTTGTTCAGCATCAGCTGAACATTCACTGGCTTGTTTGACAGATTTGAGAGCTCTCTTGGCTACAATGGGAGTCTGTGGCAACATAAGGCATTAGAATATAGTAATACTAATGACTGACTCAAAGACCTTGCTTCTTACGTAGCAGCATGAACATTTTTTTGTAATGCAGATCATGGTTTTATAGTCCAATTTGTTGCACTATTACTAATGCAAAATCCCATGCTCAAGTTATATTAGCTAGTAGATTCCATGTCTGCCAGTGTCATAGATCTATGCCATTATAGCACCACATTTATCCTAGTGGAACCATGAAACTGGTGCAACTACATGGACCAAGAGCCAAAAGTTGGATTATTAGGGTTGTGGCCCTCAGATCTCCATCTCACTCTTAGTGATGGCATAATGTTATGCTAGCAAAGAGGTGGAGTAAATTGCTTCCAATGAACTAAATGTATAGTCCCAAAAGACTCCCCACTACCTCCTCAACCATAATGGAGGAATGGATACCAACCAACTTGCATCGCAAACAATGGGGCTTCATAATTCTGTTTTCATATCCAGAGAATGTAAGAGTGCACAACTGGGAATTATGGTATAACAGTCCTCTGTACAAACATAATAGGAAAGACATGTTGTTACTGTCTAACTTGTTAGAACCCTCATAAATATTCCATCTCAAGACATCAAAGAAAACTCACTGTCAGGAACCTCAACTCCACTGCCAGAGTTCTAATATTATTTTCCTCATCACAATTCCCACCCACCCCAAAAACCAACCAAACCTGGATATTAATCTACCAGCTGCTACAGTGTCATCAGATATAAACATATTGCAGCGGCGTTAATTACAACTGTCATCACTGCTAAAACCTCACATCTTGCTGATATCAGAAATGGGGTGTGTCCCCCCCAACAAATATTTAAGGGGAAGACTGAAAAATTAGGACTGCAATTCTGAATCAACCTAATAGCAAGTAGGTCCTATGGGGCTCACTGGGACTTCCAAATAAATGTGCTGGGGATCAGGCTGCAAGATAAATATTTTAGAATGCAAGATCAATGAGAATACGGATAAAGATCTAACATGTCTCCATGCAAATACTCCCAAGAGCTGGTGAATATGAAGCTGAGGCAGCTCCCTTCAAAGTGAATCTCATGAAGGACGGATGGAAGTTTCCATCAAAAAAAGTCAGGTGACAGAATAAAGCCGACTTGTAGGCTTTTTAGATTAGAAACTCATTACTATGGCAACGTTCTCAGCTGAAAAACTGTATAAGAAAATATAATTTACTTGACAGTTCCATAATGTAATTCGAGACTACAAGGGAATTAAAATGTAAGAATGCAGACTCATTTGAGTGGCGAACAATTGAGGTGGCAAACGAATATAGTGAAGGACCCTGTCACCATACGCCACCTCATTTTCAGCTGGCTTAATAATTGCAAAGCATCACAGAGAGATCATACAATGTTCAGTACAAATATTAAAATTTCAAGCTAGTGTTCTCATGAACATTAAGGTAGAAACTATCTGCAGGAACACAGAACACATTAGAAATTATCTTAATGTGCTCTTTACACAAACAAAAAAGGAACCCAACTTAAAACCCTATCAGTTATGCTGTCAGCAGCTATTAAGTGGCTGTAGCTATCATTCCTTCTTTGTTGATGATGGTGAAGGAAGAACATAACTATCCTGTTTTTCCTGCTCTCTGCTTAATGTCAAGATCTATTTATATGTAATGTGAGACATGGGTAAAGTCCTTAGCCATACAAGGCATCCTTGGGAAACCTTGTGCCCTACAACACCCATCCAACCCAGCCAGCACAATGGAAATTTTAGATACAACGACGTGTAAGAGGTAGAGTGGTTTATAAAAGAACACATTTTGATTTGAATGCATCTGACTTGCATGCATCGGGGGAAATACGTTTTTCAGGAAGGGGTCACTTGTCCTCATAGAATCATAGAGTTGGAAGGGACCACAAGGTCCCTAGTCCTTTACCCAATGTGGGGATCAAACCCACAACCCTGAGATTAAAAGTCTCATGCTCTAACAACTGAGTTAGGCATGTGCTTAAGCTTCTCTCCTTATGGTCCAGAGGAACCCAAGATGCTGAGTTACAAATCACTGCATCCAATATGGTGAAGACCAGGCTTAGATTTTTTTTAACACCGTATATTGTACAAAAGACTGACAGTTTTTCACAGCTCAGTTATTTTCTGTGTATAAAACTTTTCTATTTTCATAACAGTCTTGACAAATGCCTGCCTTGTGGATGAAAGAGAGACAATGCTAACTTTATATTCTGTTTTCATTGTGAATTTTAGATAATCCCTTTTGTTTCATGTTCAGCCCTTGTTGTCTGCGTACTTCTCAAATTTTCAGTTTAACAATACCTCAGGCTTCAGCTGACACATCGGCTTGAGCACCTGTCAACCACATGCCGGGGCTGAAAGGAGGAAAACAGGAAAGAAAGCCTTGATGTACTAAGAAGTTTCTCTATATTAGCACTGGTTCAGGGGACCATATGAACTTCGTCAAGTACAGCAGAAATGTAGGCTTCCGACAAAGAAAGAGAGAGAGAGAGCAGATAATATCTCACTCACTTAATGAATTCTAAAACCATGCTAAATGCAATAGGCCACTGAACATATCCATAATAGCAGTGAACATATTCATAATGTTGTCTTCTCCACTAAAGTTATTGCCTCAGTTACATGGCAGATTTCCACATAGTCCTTGGAGGTTGCTCGCAAATATCAGATGAATTTGTTTTGCCAGCTGGTATTGCTTCTTCATTGAATGGATTCAGACGGGTGGCCAACTAGGCAATTTATCATTTAAAGATTCATAAACTACTGTTCTTTCCAAAGCTATCTCTCAGTTTACCAAGTAAAAAAGTAAAATCTCACAAAAACTTAGGGCAATATAAATGCAGTTACAGCAAATATAAAAGAAGTTTTTTAAATCAGAGCTCTCTAATTTCCCCTTCTGGTTTATCTTCTGGACAGGTGTGCACACCCCTGTAGGTGCAAACACTGGATGCAACAGACCAAAAAAATGAAGTTGCTACTTAAAGAGGATGCCATCTAATGGGCAGGAGGGGAGAAGACCTGAGGGTCAATCAATGGTATTTTGCTACCTTAGGCAATTAGTGCCCCCAACAAGCCAACTTAAGAAAACCAAGGTCAGCCAACATATTTTGGCACCTAAGATAATAATAAAAAAGAGCCTCTCCCACATCCTGGCAGTAAAATTACAATAATAGTACATTTAAATAACTATTTGATGCCTTTTCATGACTCCTCCAAATCAGCTGCCTTATTCAGCCTAGTGGCAAGGTTGCCATTGACCTGATCCCTGGTCCTTTAGCATGTTTTGTACACATGTCAAGGTATGTATGCACCTGTATCCATTACCCATTTTTCCTCACTATTAGTGGAACATGGGAAGCTGTCTTTATACTGAGTCAAACCAGTATCTTGCCAATATTGTCTATGCTGTTGTCCACAGGCAACGAATCTCTCCCTGCCCTACCCGGAGGTGCTGGGAATTGAACATGGAATCTTTTGCATGCAAAGTTTAAGCTGTACAGCTAAGCTATGACCTTTCTATGTAGTGGACAGCAGGGAAGCTAAAGGGAGTACCCTCTCCAGTTGTGGGTGCTGCACTTTTAAGAAGGATGTTGATGTACACAAATTGTTACAAAGATGGTCAGGGATATGTAAAACAAATGCTATGAGAAAGGTTGAAGGGACAGGTCATATTTAACCTGGAGAAGACTGAGTATAATAGCACTCTTGGGGGCTGTCACATGGAAGAGGGCAAAACCCTGCTGTTCTAAAGGGTGGGAATAGATCTAATGAGAGAGTTGATTTCAGTTGAACATTAGAAGAATCTTCTTAACTGTAGGGTTAACCAACTGCACCGGGAGTGTGGGGGTGTGATGGGTTCTCCTCCACTGGAGAGGCTGAACCACCAACTGTCAGGGATGCTCTAACTTGAAATATTGAAATACTTTATTGTCACTTGTACAACTTGTATACAGTGAGATTACATGAGCACCCCCCACGCAGCTCTCAGTCTTAATTTCCCTCGTTTACTGACACACACACACCAAACCCGAAAGTCAGTTGCCCTGTTGTTATCTTTTAATTCAGCAGCCTAACAGCCCATGGATAGAAGCTGTTCTTTACTCTGTTGGTGCAACTAATCATGCTTCTATATCTTCTGCCTGAGGGCAGGGGATCAAGAAAGTGCCGGCCAGGGTGTGAGAATTTTCCTCACTCTCCTGAAGCAACGTTATTTCTGCTATTTCATCCAGCAGATTCATGGGACAGCCCATAATATCTTGTGCTGTATTCACCACCCTCTGCAGGCACTTCCTATCAGATGATGTCAAACCAGCATACCACACCGTGATGCAGTATGAAAGTACACTTTCTATTGTTGACCGGTAGAAGGAGATCATCAAATGTTGATTGACATCGTCTTCCACAATACTTTGGGGAGATGGAGTCTCTGTTGGGCTTTCTTAACCGCCTGGGTTGTATTTATTTTCCAAGTAAGGTCTTCACTGAGAGAAACTCCTAGGAATTTAAAGGAAGAGACTCTCTCCACACAGCCCTCCCCGATGTACAGCGGGGCTAGTTCTCCTCTCTTCCTCCGAAAGTCCAACACCATCTCCTTTGTCTTGCTGATATTAAGGTGCAAGTTGTTCCCTAGGCACCATGTAGATATTTTTTGGACCTCCCCTCTATACGCTGATTCGTCTCCACCTGTTATAAAACCCATTATGGTGGTGTCATCTGCAAACTTAATAATTGCAGTAGATAACGCTGGATTTTCTGAATCAAGCAGGGGACTGAGCTAGGCCACATTCAGACCATGCATGTAAAGCACTACCATATCACTTTAAGCATTCGTGGCTTCCCCTGAAGAATTCTGGGAGCTGTAGTTTGTTAAGAATTCTGGGAGTTGTTAGGAAGCCTCTAGTGCCCCTCACAGAGCTACAATTCTCAGAGTGCCTGCACTGTGAAGAGGCATTGATTGTTAAACCACTCTGGAAACTGAAGAAGTCAGTCTAGAAAAGCTTGGATATCCACTGCAACATGGTGATGATAGCGAATGGTGTGGGCTTTTCTGTTTGGTGTTTTTGCAGAAACCAAGTCTGCTCATTAACACTGAGAAAGTGCTGGGTCACATGGATGCTTACAAGAGAAATATACTGAAAATGTGTGCATCATTGTAGGTTACCAAATGCAGAATCTGTGCAACAGGTGAACATTGTGTCACTATCCAAGAATAACCTGCTTGTCAAAAACATTCATCAGAAACTGATGATGGGCTGCTGTTAGCATCCACATAAAAAATAATATTACAGCTAGTGCCCTCAACATAAAAACTATATACAGAAAAAGTATGTTGATTAAAATAATTACATATAATCCTCTTATCTGGAATCATGTGTGAACAAACAATGCAATCCAATATATGTTTGCTCAGATGTAAGCCCTATTGAATTAGTAGGATTTACTCCCTCTCAAGTATACAGAATTGTAGCCTCAGACAGTGTAGTAAGAGGAATGGTTTTGTATAAAACACTGGTTTTGAGTCTGAAGAAAACAATTGTCATTAATAATGAAATCCAGTGGTCGGAGTTGATTCTCTGTGTAGTTGTTTTATCTTTGTTTTAAATAAAATTTTATATTTAAAGAAAGAATCTTAGAAGACATATTATGTTAGTGTCCATCACAATAGCTTGTGGTAGTTAATAAAAACAACAACAATAAGATAATGTAGCGACTTACACAAAAACAGGGATAATACCCAACAGAACTAGCTAGAAATCAGAAGAGCAAGTAGGGACGCTTGGCACATGAATAGAAATGAACATGCTTGAGTAGGATTTTTAAATAAAGAGTTAATGAACCCAAAATTTCAGCAGGATATATGTTTAGGTCTGGATTTTTAGCAGGGCAGTGTGTTGAATGTAATAGCCTTTCAAATGCTCTTATTTATTTTACATGCAATATTCTTCCATTAATTCCTACAATGCCACAATGCAACATATAGCAAATATTGACTGTTTTCAAGATTTGTGGAAGGCTGTCAATGCATCATTCCCGAAGACAAACAACAAATGATAAATATTGCAAAGTACTTACAATAGATCTGATGAGGTTCTCTTTGGCCAATTTCAGGGAGGACTTATAGCAATTTGCCAAGTCTTCCTTATGGCTATCACTAATATGTCCTCTTGCTATAGGGCCCACAGTATGAATGACATCTGCAAGAATAATTAAAAAAATCAAGTTAATGTTATCAGATCTTCAATAGGATCATACAAAATGTTAAAAGATGAGCTTCTAAATCTATAGGGCTAAGGCAGAAGACACTGATACAGAACAGAAAACAAATAAATGATAGCTATAAAGGCAACATTTAACTCAGGACATTGAAGTTAAAACAGAACTCAGGAACAATGCAAGAATGAGGCTGTCTTTTTTATGTCCCCAAATTAGCAGACAGTACTTACTGAAACATTTAAGCTATGACATAATAATCAACTTTCTCTTTCATTATTTTGCTCATTTATCTGGAGCTTCCTTGTACTGACTGGCTTTTACATGTGCAAATCCTGATATTCTTCTCTGCTTCCCTAACTTTCCTGTGCCCAGTTCATACGTTATTGTGGTGGCATGGCTGACACCTGTAAAATGCTTTCCCCCTCCACTGCCAGAACATAGCTCCACATTACCTTGGTAAAGTTCAGACTGTTAGATACGTGTGATTTGCCCTAATCACATTCGTGCTTCCCTATCTCCCATCAGAACATGCATGCCAGAGGTGAAATTGGTAATTAAGATTTCACACAATGCAGTTTATCATGTGCTATCAGCAAACCAATGTGGAACCAGTCTAAGAGGAATGTTTTATGCCTGCCATGGTGCCAGAGGAATATTTCTATTGGGTCTGACTCTGGTGACATAGAACATACCTACAAAAGCAAATGTGCTTTCCAGCCACAGCCTCTCTCATCTTCAATTCCATTATCATTAACTATA